CCGAAGATATAAGCACATGCTGAACAGAAGTGTTGCTAATTTTTCGTTTGTATTCGTCTATTAATAGCTTTAAATTTATTCTTAACTGCACGACATGCAGACATGTTACGTTAGACTAATATGTTTTGCTTTTATTCAAGGCATTTTAACAAATTCATCACCTGAAGAATTGACTCCTCTTGGCGTAACAGTAAGCAAACTACCAGATGTAAGTTACATATTTATCAGATAATCTTTGTTTTAGTCAAAACGGGAGCCTGTTACTCGACGTAGACTGTGATCCGACGTTCTATTTCTAAAACGGTATGCTGTTCGATGTGACAAAGCTGAGGTGGTTCTGGGGAAATCTTTCTTGTGTCTGATCTAAAATTCTTCATGTCATGAATATTTTGTAATAACTATTTGTATTTATGACACACCGGGTATCTTTGATCATTGTCTTATTCAAATTCAATATTTTCCACATGTTTTTTAGTTTGGATCAGTTTCAATGTCATTAGCTGTTTTAGCAGCATTAACACAATATTCATGCGGTAGAGATTTAATATGTTTGGCGTCGATATTGAGTGTATTGAATACATCGTCAATCTTGAAAATAATACCAGATAAGTTTAAACGTTCTGAAGGTGATTTCATGACCCTATTGAATATAATGGAAGAAATACTGTTAGTCAAACTGTCGGTACCAGCCAGAAAATTTGATATTGATCAAATATGCGATGCTAAAGGTTTAGGTGCTGTTAAGCATGTGCTGAAGCAAGCTATTCGGCGTTACGGAAATTTGGCAAAAGCATTTAATTTATCAAACGAATACCGTAATCTGGCTCAAATCAAATCAGGTAGATGGGAATTAATAGCCAAATCTCTATTGGTAAGTCATACTGATAAAGTATTCGTTTCAATGAAAGAATTACAAGGAAAAGTGCATCGTTTCACTCGTTATAATATTCAAAAACAACAGCAAGATGACAATGTGCTTGATGTCGCTGTACTAGATTTACAATCAACGTTAACTAGAGCAATAACGTCTGCTCCAGTTTCTATTGTATTAGCACGTGATATTCGTTATTCTTCATCTATTCGTGCAACAGCTGTTCTATCTTTTGTGGGTGAGATAAAATCATCATGGATTGAATATCAATTAGAAAGAAAACTACCATTGAACGATAAAGAAGAAGCGAAACTGAATAATGATGGTATATTAAATAAAGTCACATCAGCATTTAATTTTATAAACATGCAATTAAACAATCATGTTCTCACATTCAAAGGACCATCGGGGGCCGTTTTGGACGCCGAATTAGATGTGAGACAGCAATTAGTAACTGAGATGAAGTTTAATCTTACAAATGATGCCGCGTCTGAAAATCTGAAACGAAATTTAGAAAGTGTCATGAAGATGACAAGAATATTTAATCCATTAATATGGCGATGGGAAACTCAACAACAAGTCAAAATTACGATAAATAATGATACAGCTAATAAAACTTGTGAGATATGTGTTGAAGGAAGAGATTCACAAAATCAGTTAGTTTTCAAAGAATTTCAATCATTTTTAAAATGGTTAAGATCATGTGCTGTTATTAGACATCCTAATGCAGGTAAGAAAAGATAATTCACAACTAGAACTATCACTTGTACATGATGGCTCCCTATTTTCTACTATATCCAGGAGTCTCACCAAGAATTTTAAAACCACAAATACGTCACACGTGTCTTGATATCGAAGAAAGAATTGCTCATATAACGGATAGTAAACGGACAACAGTTGATTTATGGAATGGCGTAAAAGGATCAAAAGCAACACGAGAAACAAGAATGGAAGTTGTTGCTTGGATTGCCGTATGTAAATTTGAATGCCGATTAGAAGGTGGCTTTGTACGAGATTGGGTCGTTGGTGGTTATACAAACAGACCAGCAAACACGAATACGTCACAGTGGATAACATATAACAATAATCTTCCATATTTAGACAAAGATATCATACCGAGTGATTTAGATTGTCATTTACCTAGTCACAAATATTTTGATATTGAGAAATTTCTAGATGAATTACATAAGTTGCAAATAAAAGCAAAAGTGTACCGAGAAGATTGGAGATATGTTGTATTATTAGATGAAAATTATAAGACGGGTCCATTTACAATGGATTTAATTGAACCACATATAGCGTTAACACATGATCGAATTGATTTTGATGTTAGTAATTTATCATTGGAAAAAGATTATACAAAAGAGTTAGGCATGCGTGTCGATATCACACAAACACCACATTCAGTACAATTAGAAACAATTGTCGAGAATATTAAACATAAAAAGTTCCAAGTATTAAGACCAATTGATGGAGAAGCAAGTGGTATTAGCTATTCTGGTATGAATAATTCGTTTATTTCATCAATTTCAAGACTAGAAATATGTTTTTATTCTGATTTTTACTTAGGTTCAGTTTCCGATCGTATTAACAAAATGAAGCAGAGAGGATGGACACAGTTAGGCAAGGCAATGCATGTAATTCCGAATCCTCAGTCTAAATATAATGCCGTATTAGTACCATTGCCAAATTCTACGAACTTATATCAAGGATTAGTTACTCTAATGAATACAATTGGTACTGTTCAGGTATTGTCAATAGAACAAATTAAAAATCCTGATGTCGAAGCTGTTTATGAAATGATGAAAAAATTAATATCCAAGCAATGTGCTGGCAATAATCCAAACGAAAAAGAATTATTTCATGGAACAAAAGATGGAGGTATCGATGGAATAGTTAATGATGGATTTGACGATCGATTTTATAAACAAGGAAAATGGGGTATGTTTTCTATTCTTGAATCATAAATTCTATTAGGTAACTTTCATTTTTTATCAGGTTACGGTGCATATTTTGCTGATACTCCTAAAGTCTCACACGCTTATACGGCACCGTTACCTAATGGTTCATATATAATGTACTATAATAAAGTTTTATTGGGAAATCAGTCGGATACAACAGTTCAAAACAGTACTTTAGCTGCTGCTCCGCTTGGTTATCATTCTGTTCATGGAATTCCTCAACCAAATATGGATGAGTATATTGTCTACCGTTATGGTCAGGCACTACCATATCTGAAAATAACATATAAATTATAGAGATAAAAATTAACGGTGTTCGATTTGCGTGAAACATAATCAGTTGTATACATTTCATGCTTGTAACTTTTTTACTTTTCTTATCAACAAATGTGCTTATGCTAGTTTCGAAAAGTGTCTACGAAATATTTTAGACATAGGGATTTAACGGTAAGGATAGCCAAAAAAGCTTTTGATGCCAGATTTGTAATTTCATTGGAAATTCTTATCGATACACATTGCTTGAGATGCTTCACAGACATTGGCAAATATCGATGTGCACTCGTGCCACACCGATGCTATAGTTTTGATTCTCAAAAACAGTGAGTGTCTCATGTAGATGCCGCACTTGTTGTTTTTTTCGCCAGTGAGGCATTCTCATGACAGACATCGATATCAACCCCGTTGTCACACATGTAGTGCAAAGGGAAGAGGAAGAAAAAAAGAATCAAAAGACAGAGCAGAGATCATATATATATGGGCAAAATCAGCGTAAAGTGGTCATGACTACCGTTTGTTCATCTTGAATTTCTCCCTACTCTTATTTTGGTGGATAACTCTTTATCATTTGAACATATGAGGAAAACTTTGCTCTTTAAAATTATAATTAATTAAAACTAATTAGCTAATTAGTTAATTAATTAGAAAGAAAAAAATTAGCGAATAGCGGATCGAAACTAGTTTCTCGTAGTTTTTCGCGAAAAGATAATTTTAACAAGTATCCTCAGAATTCATTTTTTCGTAGCATCGTTAGCAACTTGATACATGTTTCTGGTATAAATAGCACCGTTAGAAAGTTTAACACTTCAGATATATAGTGACTCAAAGTTTACGAACGTCACGTCCCGCAACGCTGGTTTTGCCCATATATATATATATATGACGTACATGTGCGAAAAGAGATATCACGCTTTTTACCAGATGCCTAATCCTTTTGCATTATTCATTTCTGCTTACTGCAAATATTGTTCAAGGGGCATTTTGAAGCGCAAGAAATCAACCGTTAGCTTTTAAAATTATTCGCTTATATTGTGGAAATATGTGCAATGCAAACTGAGTGCTTTTTTGTGAAATGGTAGGGAAAGGATCAAAAATTCTGCATTTCATCGAGCCAGAATCAATTCTAAAATGTCCGAAGTGCTAGAAAGTACAGAATGAAGCATCTTTAATGAGTTCAAGTCAAACTCATATTGAGCCATTTTCTTGCAAAACTTGTTCGTGTCCCGGTCTGTCAAAAAAAACAAATTCTGACAAATAAGAAGTTCCGAAAGTACATTGGACTATTACTAAACGGCCCACACTCAGACTGGACTAGATTGGACTCCAGTCTAGTCTTATGAGGCTTATTTTTAAAGTTTTTGATCTGAACCGAACTCAGAATCACGAATCTATACGGAGATCTGATGCATAGAAATGACATAAATAATTCTCAATTTTATATCCATGACAAATTTACGCCCTATTCATAATAAAAATCTTTACTGCATATCTAGTGAACAAAAGTCAAATTTTTTACAGTATCAACTACAAATTACAAGTGTTCTTTCACTTCGTATGATCAACATAGAAAGTATAACGACGTTATCTGTTTAACATTTAACTGTAGCAGTTATCTTTTTTCTTCTTCTTTCGACTAATCGTCCTTATTTATTGAAGTACATTACTTTGTAATAAAAGCAACGGGTGTTTAATATAGTATACACAACGTACAATCTTGTTCGACTAGAATGGGAGAATTTGCTGGTAAATGCTTATTATTTGTGCTGGCTGTTCTATTACCACCTGTGGCGGTCTGGTTAGCTCGTGATAAACTTTGTAATTGTACGGTAGTTCTCAATATTATTTTGACACTAATTGGTTGGGTATGTAAAGAAAATATTTGAATGATAAACTTTCATTTTATTTTATACTCATTGTTTTAGTTACCCGGAGTTCTTCATGCATTCATTGTTATATGTTGTTGTAGTGAATACGATAAAGTTTAATATAAAATTTGTTTTGAAGATTTTTTTGATCTAATAAGGTCTAATTTAGTTTTATTTTGATACAAATTTAATTGAAAAATAAAACTGAATGTAGAATGATAGATGCAGATTTTCTGTCAAAGTTGGAATAGATATGTGCTCAATCGAACAGTTGTACTCATGGTAAAAACTTGCAATGACTCTGTCCTCTTATGCGTTGCCATTTTTCTCATGTACATCCAAAAACCAAAATGTTTGAATCATTTTTATCACAAGCTCACGTCTCTCTATCTTATTTCAATTTTTGCTATTTTATGAAATTTTGGAGGAGTGGGAGAGTTGTCCACCATTTTTGTATGTTTCTCTAAATAGCAGAGTTTTGCTAGACCCGATTTCTCTTCTTCTTTATCCTCTTCACATATTTTATAGTTTAATGTACGAGGCCCTAATCTTAAATGAAATGATGTCCTACTTCGTGCTAATTTGAAATTTGATGTAATGATATTGTTCAAGGTCAGGGTAGCCGATCAGTCGTTCCTTGCCAAAACATTTTTCAAACTCAAAATCTTTTATCAAAAAGGAGAAAACGGAAATGGCGGTGTCGTCACACTAGCTAACCAATTCAATAACTTTCTTGTTATAAGATGGACAAATATTTAATTGATTTTTAATAATAGTCGTTTAATATTTTGCTTTTTAACATTAGTATATAGACCCCGTTAATTTTAGTGTGGTTATTCGCGTTTTCTTTTCAACATACCTAACAAGTACATAAATAATAAACAAAACAAAACACAAAAAAATGAATATCGTGATGTAGAGTAACTTGAAGAACTGCATGTTTTTCTTTTTCATGCCATTACAAATACCAGAAAGCTGCAATATCAATTATTCTCAAACACAAAAAATAGGTTTTTCAATTTCAGTCCGCTATATTTTGCAATATAAAAAAAGGAGAAAATGTCCTTTTTGTAGTTCTCGAAAAGCTCTGTCAACTGGCCATATTTGAGACTCTTCATATGCTCAGGCGATCGCAGGAGGATTTTTTCTCTTTTTGAGATTTTACCCCAAATTATCATTTTTAATCGTAGTTTTGAGACATGTAAGAAAATTTGTATGATTCGGTCAAAAGCATACATTATGACGTCGAGTCTGGTTTATCTTAAAACAAAATAATTCTTTTATTACATCCGAACAGAGAATTTCGTTTCTTGTGCCAAGGCGAAGAAATCAAATTTTTCCTTTTTTCTGTACTTTTAGTGAAATCTTCATTCGTGGTAGAAAAAAAGGTTTATAGAGAACTTACAATACAAGAAAAGAAAGGTGATATTCCTGGGTGCCAGAAAATATATTTCTATTCTACTTTGATGCATAGCACCGTATTCAAAAGGTTTGATTTTGAACGTAATCGATATTGAAGCTTTCCCGTATTTCCTGTATATTGTTTTATTCGTATAGTCTATAGAGAAATGTTCAAAATGTTCTGTGTAGAAAATTGAATGAGGAACCTTTTAAAAAAAGATTGAGACCTGGTGATCAACCGACCGAGATATTGAAAAATACGGAGAGGGACATTATTTCTGGCGCACCCGTTATCAAATATAACGTTGATAAGAATATATCTATCATCTAATCCAAAATTATTCTATCATATGCTGATATCTGCACAATTGCATTTCTAATTAAACTCAAAGGCTCTAGACAGTTGACGGCAAGCCTATTGACTCGTCACTGGGCTGCACCAATTTCAGTATCTTTCTGATCGAAAAGTAAACGGTTTGAAAAACTGTCAACCACTTCTCCTCATGCCTTCATACTTCCCTCTGACGAAATAGAAAACGAACCATCAGAAAAACTTGTCGACGTAGCCGCTAATCACTACAAAAGTGTATGTCATGAATTCCCGATTGTAGGTTCGCATCCATATGTGAACGCTCGATGGAAAGATTGGGTAAACTATGATGAAACAGTCTGGCCCGCTGATATTGATGAGTTTTTGGAAGTTGTGAATTTTCGTGACAAAAAGCTCTCCTGTCATGCACAAGACTTGTCTTGTTTTATGTTCAATTTTTTGCTCCCTCCATATAGATATGCACCAGTTAAAACTAGTGTTACGGCATTAGGGAGAATTGCTATACATCAGTTATGACGATTTACTCAGAGCTGTGAAACGTCTCATTTTGTAGAAAAATGTTTGTTCTACAAAATACATTTGTGAAAAAGCTTCCAAAATTATTTCTAACAAAATCTGGAGCACTTTAAAATGCGTTAAACAGTTTTTTGCTATGATTTATTGCATTTTAAAATGCTACAAGTTTTGTTAGAAATACTTTTGGAAGTTTTTTAACAAATGCATTTTGTACAGCCAGCATTTTTCTACAAAATGAGACGTTCCACAGCTATGAAGAAGTCTTGAAAACTGATGCATGGCAATTTTCCTGAATGCCCCAACACCCGTGAAAAACTGGTGCATACCTACCTCCATATTGGCCGCTCTTATTCCGGATTTTGATTATCTTCAAAACACTTTAACTAGGAAAGCTCATCAAAGTTAAGTTTCTACGTTAAAACTCCATCCGATAATTATTTTGAATTCTCTTCCTTATGCAATTAAACGCCTTCTATCGAACTACGCTAGAATCAACTCTTCATATCCAGTGTCTAATGAAATTTTAAAAATGCGGCAAGAAATCTTGAAAAAAAATTATATATTAATATTTTAATTTTATATATTAATATTTTTTTTATTGAAAACTACTTGTTCGTAAAGCGAAAAATCTTCGGGTAAGCTTTTGTGTTTCTAGTAAATAACTGCTCATAATCTTATTATAATAGACTTTTTATGTTTTATTTCATTTAAACTGGAAGGCGTTAAAAAGCCGACTTATTTAATTTAAATTGAATTGTTCACATAATTGTGTTAAACTTTCCATTGTTATTCCACTACCACCACACACGATAATGATAATTGGACTTTCATCCGTACAATTTGAAGGTAGCTTGATTTGTTTTTTTTCCTCATTGAATAAATTTGAATAGATAAATGCTAATGATACACCAGATGCCAGTTCGACAAGCATACGATGGTCATCCAAGAATTGTTTACACGCTTGAACAGCTTGAGCATCCGGCAAGACATATGAATGTAAATTAAAGAGATGACTCAATTCATAAGATTTCGATGAAACGGTCAATGCACCTGAAAGTATAAAAAGAGCTTTTTCAGCTCATATCTACGGTCTAAAGATGAAAGACCAGTGTTGGTGTGCGTTATCGATAGAAATGATTCAGGCTTCGAAGCTCTTCGATAGAAATGTGCACGGATATCGGTTTCCTACCCGTACTCGATCCGAATAAGTTTTTTCTCCGTATCCGATCCGACTGGAGAACTTCGTACCCGTACCCAACCTTCGGGTTGGTACGGCTACGATAGTGGGATTGTACATTTCTACTCTTCGATTTATTACGCACAAAATAGACGCTCATGGAGAAGTGAGAGCTAAAAATCTCCAATTTTCCTCCACTAGATATAAAATGTAGATTAGTTGAAGTTTTACAACACGCTCATACATCTGAGAAGAACGTTACTTTTACCTAAGGATTTGGCCATGCTTGTTATTGCTGGTAATGTAACCAATTGTTTTGCTTTCAATGCTTGTGAAAAACAATCTGCTCCTTCCGTCTCCATTGCAATCACATTCACATCAGACCATTCACTGTAGTTTTTCAATCCATACAGGATGCCATTTAGCAGGCCACCGCCACCTACACTTTGAACAATTGCATAAGGCTTCATATCCGTTGGTAGTTGCTCAACAAGTTCATCGATAATACTGGAAACTCCTGCGAAAACAAATGGACTATGCAATGTCTTTCGACGAATCCTTAGAACTCGCCAAACATTAGTTAGAAATTACACAAATCCATAGATTCGGCCGATTCCTACATCTTCGGATGATTTTTTGGTGTAGGAAGAATAGCTCAACGTTCAAAGTTACTTGTGACATGAAAAACTCTGTATTATCTTCACCCGATATATACTTTGCCGCGAAGAATCATTTTGCGCCGACGATATCTTCATGAGCAGGAAATGAAATTTGAATAAGATTTAAATCATATGGCATCAGCTTCTACGGTGGAAATAGCAATTTCTGAATATTTCAGGTGTATGAAAGTTCATAGCATCCCGAGGGGACAGGGGAGTCAAAAGTCGAAAAATTATAATTTTAGCTCTGAATTCCCACTGTTACTTGAGTTTTCTTTGAATAAACTTAACAATAGACCATAGGATAAAGCATTCAACGAGGACTCTAAGATTTTGTATAGTGTGCGACGTTTCATTTCTCATTCTCATTCAGATATTTCCATCAGAATGCGTAATTTGAGGCAGATACCTTTTTCACAACACACGTTTCCTTTGACAGCGAAACAACTTTTTTCCATGATTAAAACGAAAGTACGTCAAACATGTGTCGCTGTTTCTAAAATATGTCGACCTATGAACATCCATAAAAATGCCTTAAAAAGTAGATTCTAGTGACAATGACTCTAGTGAAAATTAGGCTCTTTTTCTAAAATTCTTCCATTATACAGTCGCTCCTACTACCATAAATAACAGAATAAGAAGATTTATAATTTTAGTTAGAATGGTTCACTCACCGATCCAAATATCTTCGTGGTCAAACGGTGGTAAATACACACTACTGCCTTCATCTTTTTCCACTAACCTACGAGCAAATTCATCTGCTTCATTCCACACGCCACCTTGCGTGATCACTTCTGAACCATATTCAGATATCAGTGTTCTTATACGGTTGGATGTCGTGATGGGTGTGACAACAATCGACTTTAAATGTAATTTCAAACAAGCATACGCACACGCTAAGCCAGCATTACCGCCACTGGAACAGATGACACGTTGACACTGTTGTTCTCGTTGTTTCAGTTTCATACATAGATGACCGACTCCACGAATTTTAAAACTACCTACATCAAAAAAAGAGTAAAGGTATGAAGTTGAACAGACGCTGAATTTTTTACCAGATGGCTGAACATTGTCAAGCTTGAGATAAACTGGTCTACCAGCTATTTTAGACAAAGGAAAACTTTTGATCAACGGCGACTTTATGTGTAAAGGTGCATCCATTTGTTTTACAAGTAGAATGAGTATCAAAAAGATAACGAAGAAGGCGAGAAGAACAAAAAACATTTAACAACATACACGAAGAGTGCGAATGTGAGAGAGATAAAGAAACAATGACACATTTTTTCCTGAAGATGTACTTCTTAGCTCATAGATTTACTCTTACGAGGATAAATTTACTCGTTCCAGACCTAATGAGTCAGCTTTGGATGAGTTCAAGGAATTTCATTTTAACGACAGATGAAAAGTCGACACTTTGCAGTA